CAAAGAACTTTTGACTGCTTTGACTAGTAAATGAATTCCAGGTGATTTTTGTTCAAGAAAAGGAAGACTTTACAATAGGCATTCGTTATTTGTTTGTTTGCTGATGTCGAAATAGTGTTTCGACTGCTGAAAACTGCTGATCTGAAGCTGAATCTGAATCTGATTAAAAACTGATCGAACAGACTATCGGAAACTTGACGATTCGGAGGTTGTTCTTTAAAAAAAAAAGAGATATGATATTCATCAGTGCGGCAATCTACGATGCCGTAGGTATCATCGCCGTAGCAAACAACTACCTTTTTCAATTCGGATCGCAACGTCTCAACGAGCACTTGTAATTCTTGCTTCTCTTCGATTGCCTTCTGAAGTTGTCGTTGGCAATTACACAACTCACTGTTGTCTAAAATACTTCGAAGCATCTCCTGCAAAATGCAAATTACTCATCTTTTACGTTGAATCGTTAAATTCATTCTCTATGTGCATTTACATTTGCATCTATTCATTATGCAGATCATTGATTATTTGCAGTCCATTGCACCTGAAACTACATGTAATAAACATTTAGCAAGCCTTTAATCTGAGTCAACCAATCGCAATATGTTTGTAATACCTGCTTGAAATCGCCTTCTTCTGAACAATTCAACATCTTTTCGGATTGAGCTCTCAGAAGTTCAGGTACCTGCAAGCAAGCAAGCAATGAACAAATTCGACCAAATCGCACGAAAATCATTCGGATACTATGGCATTCATCTAATATAGACACCTATCTCATAGCATATGAATAATGATTTTGTTGTGGTGGCCGTTATCACATCAACAACATCAACGAATCTGTAAGACAAGACAAATTACTGAAGCTTACATTGAAAGGACTCTGAATCAATTCAGACAAGTAGTCATGCGCCGATCCACTCAGTCGTTTCGATCTGCACGATCGGGTGTTAACCGCATTCGATGTACACCTGAAAATGTACATCTTCCATTATTTGTATTAGTCGTCAGCGAAATTGAAATATGCTATCTGTAGCCTTTAACAGGCACCAGCTCAAGACGCTTGATTATATTCATATAAAACGTTTCCTTTAGAAGAAATCTATCTGAATGATCTACAATAGATCAAAATTTTGCACTTCAAATTTGTTGGTAATGGCTGCAGCAGAGTGTAGTTGACTTGTGACCATTCTGATGTCGTTGGTTCAATACGGCGGCCAAAGTTTGCTTTAGTTTGATTTTCAGTAGAGATTCAAATTGAATCTATCATAAATGATGTGCAAGCACCATATTAAACACAACTGGATGAAATGAATGAATGAAGTTTCACATACTGAACGCATGTGGCACCACTAGC